ATAGTAGTACGACGGAAAAATATTCGATGCTAATGAATTTTCCTGCCTTGAGATATTGAGACTCGAATATTTGACCCTCACCCTTACGTTCTGGTGAAATATTCGAGTCTCAATATCTCAAGGCAGGAAAATTCATTAGCATCGAATATTTTTGCGTCGTACTACTATGACCATGGGCTACAAGTGCGGCAAGTTTGCAATCAAAATTTGAAAGTTGGATTTTGTCCGAAATTCAAGCTCTATAGGCAAAAACTGACTAAAAATTCAGTATTTCAGCAACAAAGCACTATGGGGATGAACCAGGTTGGGGTATTTCACTACTCGTTAGGATCTTTCTAACAAAAATAGTCCCAACCTGAAAACGATTTGTAACCCTCGTCAGCTGATGGAGAGAAAGGATCTTTTTTGTTTTCATCTTGAGTCAAAAAGACCATCGATTTAGTTCGGCTCACTTGGGGAGAATTTTGGTTCATTTGAGTCCGGTTTTAAAAAGCACGAACCCAGCTTATGTGGTAAATGTGTATACTTGATATCCACGCAAAGAAGTAAAATATTTTCACACATTATAAACAGAAACATGCTCGCACACACACACACACAAAAAAACTACTTTTTGAACTAAAGTTGAAATCAAAAAGATGTTTTTAAGTTGATCAGTTACTTGGGAAAAAAAGCCAGAGAGAGTTAGAATTTTCAATTAATCTTTTTTTTATCCCAAAAATCAGGAGAATAGAAGTTATTTTTTCAGTTGTTGTTGTTGTTGTTTTTTTAGAGCAAAATAGTTCGTATGGTATATTAGACACACAAAACAAAATGAGCTATCGAGGTTTATCATTTGAAATTACCGCTATTTTCAAAACGTCTATCTGAAAATATAAAATAAGATTACAGAAATGATATATCATTTAAAACAAAAAAAAGAAGTATATAAAGATGTCGATCAACCAACGTCTATCTACTCTTTTCATATTAAATGACAAGAATCCTCTGAACTAGTTATCTTATCAAAAAGCACATTGACAACTAACTGTAACACGAGACTCATGCATATATTTCTAGTTCTAGAGGATCTTTTAAAATAGTGATAAACTAAAATAAAATATTAAAAAAAATAAAAATAAAAATCATAAGACTATTGACTACACCACTGTACAAAAATATTGATCAAATAATAAATGAAATAATTTAAAATAAAATAAAATAATATATATCCTTTTTTTGAAGCACGCTCTTAAAATACATGCAATATCATTGAATATACAAAATTATATTCAAAATAAATACTAAAAAAAATTTGTTCAAGATCATCTGATATGTGAAAATGGTATGTAAAAAATTCATTTTATTTTTTACATATCATTTTTCATTTTTTTTATCAGAAACATTTTGTTTTTTTCATCATGCATATATATTCACGAGATCTTAATTTACTTACTTGAACCGGTCGTAATTTATCGGCCTATAAAAATGTTTAGATTGTTTTTCGACAAATTTTTTTATAAAATCATAATTCCACTTTTTCTTACACGTATTAAAATAGTTGTGTTATATAATTAGAAAAAAAATTGTTAGTTCACTTACATTCCCATAATACCATTGATATTTTGGAGGTGGTAAACCAGCCGCTTCACAAATTAATGTGGCTGCTTTTTTTTCAATTGCACATGGTGATGAACATTGAATTCTTGGTTGAGTAACAGATTCTATAGAAAATATAATATTTGTTAATCTCTGTTTTTCTCATTTAGAATAGATATCAATAGATACTTGATATAATAACAGTGATAGGAAAATCTCTTGATTCTCCTGTTTCTAAAACATCTGCTTGACACCAAAATGTATCATTATCAGCCATATCAACTTTATTTATTTTTAAACCATCGTTTGTTCGTTCATAATTTGGAATTCCTAGAAGAACAAATCGATATGATGATTAGTAAGAAACGTCGAATTGATGACGAATAATGATACCTATTCTTGTTTTATCTCTTCCTTTAAACCACGATACTTCAGCTGATGGATTTGCTTGTACTCGACATTTAATCAACACTTGTTCGCCTAATGCTGCATATTGAATAGAATCCCCATGAAATGTTATTGGTACTTAAATGAATATAATAAAATTTTATTTTAAATGAATATGAAAATTTTTAAAATAATTGTTATTACATACTTTTGATATTCATTTGAAATTGTTTTGTATATCGTCTACCATCCATATCCGTTCCAACACATTCCCATTCTCCTTGATCATCAATAGTTAAATTTCGTATCCTCAATCTTAAACCAGATGATTGTCGTTCAATTGTGACTCTAAAAGAGATGAATAAAATTTTAATAAAATATTTAACTATAGCAGAAAATTAATACCTTGCAGTATCATTTTCTGGAATATCTACATGTTGCGGTGTTCTCCAATTGATAACTTTAGTATTTGATTGACCAGTACATGATGCAATGAATGATCGATATTGATCACGTGTTAATGTGGAATCAATTGGTTTAATAATTAAATCTGACCGAATTGTAGTAAATAGCACTGAAAAATAAATGAAACAATAGATAACAATAGACTTTAGACTATTACTGAGCTGAATTAACACTTGACTATATGGATCATGTTTACATTCAGTAGTTGAAACACAATCATGTATGCTGTATGTTTAAGATAAATTCGATGCCACCTATAATCCATGTCTTGTTTTGAATATTTCCTGAAAATTTCAGTTTGTTTGGATGAGAAATGACTGAGTTACGAATATTTTAATTGTATATGGACATAGGAGTAAACGCAGATTTTGAAAAATTGGCTCAGCTAAACTTTCTGTGATCTGAGGAAGAAAATAAACATTGTTGCGATAATCAGCGCATTTGGTTGTCTATACAACATGTGCTTTTGAGATTGCTGGCCATATTAAATACGAGATAGGATGGTCGTCGGAGAATGCTTATCTATAAGAACTAGAGATTTGGGACTTGTATAGAATTGTAGAGGACGATAAGTAGGACCGAATTCATTACGCTACATTTTAAAATCATCTTTGAAAGCAACCTTATCTTTCAAAGATCTATTTGGTGTCCGGGTCTAGAGTTTTCCTTATCCTTATATCTTAAAGTCTTAGCTACATAATGGTGAAAACCGCAAGTTTCTGTCTTTTTTCTGTTGAAAGTTATTCTAAAACATAAATATCTAAGGGCGTTATACTTTTGAACTGATAGTAGATGACTACAATCAGTTTGAATTACATTCAGATAGATAAACTTCATAATTTTCACAAAAAAGTTAACTATTAAACACACGGATCGCAGATCTTTTGATATTAGCAGAAAATTTATTATTTTTAATTATGAAATAACACCTTTCCTTGATCTTTAAATTAAAGTTTAAAAATTTAAAAATTTTTTCCGTCATGCAGCTCTACAATGAAGTTGTTTGTAAAAAATGTCTCTTTCGCTTTGGACTTTGATGGAATTTTTATATGCATTACACCATATTGGAAATTCTTTCAACTATTCAGATCATTTTTCAGATCTGTTCTAGCTACTATGGTCGAGAGAAAAATCAAAACCAAACTGTTGTTTCCGAACAGGACAGGTTAATTTCCAACAGGATTCTTGAAAAAAATCCGAAAAAACCCACTGTTCTACTTTTCTGAAGATAACCAATAGTGTTTTTCAAACAAATTGTAGCTCTGCTACCAGCCGAGTTATTTCACATTTAAAAAAGTCGAATTCTTTTAAATTTTAAGTTGTAATTGATCAAGAAAAGGTGTTATTTAATAATTTCTTTGTTCAAAATTATCTTTGAAGCATGTGAAATACGATTATTTTATTGAAAAGATTATGTCCTTGCTATGTTTCTGAGAAATAAAACTTATCTGCAATCAGATGATGAATATCTCTCTGTCTTATAAACACTTTACTCGCACTAGAGATACAATGAAATGTCCCGTAAAAAGCGCATGCTTTCAAACCCTTATATTCCAAATAGTAACTTAATTCGGTCATCGTCTTCGCTTTAGTTTCTTCATGCAACATGCCTATTCTCGTTCATTCTTCTTTGTACTCGGCTTCTCTACTTAAAAATCCAGTTTTGCGTAAGCCAGTCACGTTCTTGTAAAATCATAGCTCTTCATCCAAGTAGGTGAGGTTTAGATGTGGAATCGGATTTGTTCGAGCCCCAGGATCGATATGTCTTTAGATGTGGGAATCTCGAAAACAAATGGAAACACAGGTTATCGACCATACTGACCCTACCAGTGATGTTTGTTTCTCGAAAATATTCAAAGACCTGGCGAAAACCTATATTATGCAAAGTAATTATCTTTGCCTGTTTTCACGTAATTTTAGAAAATTCATAACTCAGCCAAAATCGATTCATACTACGTCAGAATACCAAGATGTACTCTATTGTATCTACACTATACCATGGAGTTCAACAGAACTTTTGAAAAATCAACATAAAATCCTCTGATTTTTGGAAAGTTTTCTAGAAACCTTCCGAAGTAAAAGAATATGTTTTACTAATTTTAAGCACGGAATCGCATTGAGCAGGTATAATAGAGTATATCTTTGTATTCTGACGTAGTATGAATCGATTTTGGCTGAGTTATGAATTTTCTAAAATTACGTGAAAACAGGTAAAGATGATTACTTTGCATAATATAGGTTTTCGCCAGGTCTTTGAATATTTTCGAGAAACAAACATCACTGGTAGGGTCAGTATGGTCGATAACCTGTGTTTCCATTTGTTTTCGAGATTCCCACATCTAAAGACATATCGATCCTGGGGCTCGAACAAATCCGATTCCACACCTAAACTACACATAACTGAAAGGGCGCTTAGTTTCGATTTTGAAGAGAAGACTTTGGGCTGTCTACTCATAAAAATAAACTGATATATGGCTATGTTACATTTTGGACTATGTAATAGTTTTTCAGACAGCCCTCAGAAAATCAATTTTTGAGAAGTAATGTCAAAAACGCTTTGCTTATCAAAAGATGTTGTCAAGTCGTGGCTATCGAATGGTGAAGACTGCAAGTCTCTAGCGTTTTGTGTTTAAGAGTTATTCGGAAAACAGTCAATGGCACTGCTTTATGGCGACGATAGTAGTTCAAATATTTTTCTTCAAAATAATAATCGAACTCAGTGTAGCAGCTAGCTCTTTTAAAAGATAAGATGTTTCTGAGAAAGCTTATGACTTTTACAAAGCTTGACGTACTGAATCAGCTGACTTTCGTCGATCAGCAAGCTTTATTCATAATGATCACAAAAACTGCGTATTTTTCGGAAATATGGGAGATATTTGAACACAGAGATAATAAGACATCGACAATTCTAAGAAGATATAATTAGCCATTTTGATACAAAAAACACATTCAATTTTTGTTCTAATTCTGAATTGTTTTTTTTCCAATTTTTACATTTACGATCTGAGATTTATGATTATACACAGCATTATTTGATTATCGCAATACATTGATATCAAGTTCTAACTGAGTAATAATCTTTTATTTTATTATAAGATTCTTTGTGTAGATTTTGAAAATGACACTGTCATTGTCGAGGACGACAACAAGGTCTTCATGAGGGTAGTAGCTAGATACACTTCTAGTTGAAGTTGAAATCAATCTCTTTATTTGTTATTTTCTTTTCAAGTAACTTTTCTCTTGTTTCCTTTTAACATCTTTTAGTTAGTTGTTCTTGTTCAAGTGTCATATGGATGAAAATCACACACACAATTCTCATAACTGAACCATTATATGAGGCACCAGAAGCTATTCTCATGTTCACAATGTATATATGCATGATTTATTACTTCTTAAATATAGAAAACTCGGGCACCAATATTACGCTTGAAAGGTCAAAGTAGTGTGTATGTGTGTGTGGGCTCTCTTCTCTTCTCTTGTTTATGTTTCATCGTATGTACCTGTGCTCAATGCTTTCCTTTTCTTTTCGATTTTTTTTTTTGTTAAAGTTCAGTCTATCATAAATAATGAGAAAACAATTTCTCTGACCATCAGGTGTCAAACGACATACACATCTACACACATAGACAACTAAAAAAGAGAAGATTACTGTGGTATGGTACCATATTTTGATTTAACACAGAACATTATTAAATGGTTTAATTATTGTAATGCGTCGCGCACAGTTTAATCAAATATATTAGAACATATAATCAGTCACTTTATTTATTTCTCAAAGTGTCAAAATCATGTGTAATTATTTAGTAAAACAGTTCCCGATTGAAATAGTAAATATGACACATCGAGGCAATGTTTTTCACCATATTTAAGACGAAATTAGACCTTTTGTGTGTGTGTGTCTGTGTGTGTTTTAACGTCATGAACAAAAAGAGCAGAGTTATTGGGCGGCTATTTGACAAACTACTCAGTTGATAATACATTATCTATCAAACATTCTTGAAAAACAAGAGCGTCCAACTGCATTCAAAATTTTTCATCTCTTCTACTCTTATCCTTTTTTACAAGCAGTTAATCAAATTGAAAGTGTTACTTACTCATCAATAGTGATATGTAAACACCACCACTTTGTGACATTGATAGAGAAGAATAATCAAAGTTGTTATATTTTGAAACGATTATCATTGATATATCTCTATATCACAGATGAGGTAGAGAGAGAAACAAAAAAAAGAATAAGAAAAGGTGTGTACTACTCTAATGAGTTATAAGGATAGATAATGGATAACGATCGATACTTTCTTTTTTTTATAATAGATTATCACTGTATGATGAAATAATAATATTTATTGTGATCATTATCTGATTCAATTCATCTGTAGTGTAATAATGATAATGGTGATGTTGATTATAATAACAGAAAGATAAAAATCAAATCTGAAATAAAAATAGATAAGTTGCGTATATTTTAGGTTTAACGACAAAAAAAAACATTTTATCCCAAGCAAAAACGACCCAGTTTTTGCTGGATGTGGAACTATGAATCTAGATAAATATCCTAAAAAACTGGGTTGTTTTTGCTGGGTAAATCCATTTTAAATTGAATGAGCCAAACTTCAAGTTCTAAGTTAACGTAGACTAAGACATGTGTATATGTTCAACTGAGTTAGACTAAACGAAAGTAACATTTATAGTTAGTTTATGTTATTTTCAAATTTTGTTAATTGAAACCAAAATTTTGACTATACAAATTCTAATTTAATATTTTGAAATCAGATTTCGATACTCGTAAAATCTTTGATAAATATCAATAAAACACTAAATGCACAATATTGTTACTAATATCACTATCATATATTTCATGCTGTTTTCTTACTCATTATGACGTTTACGATTCTTCGAGGATATTTATCAATACAGTCACAGTGTTTTTGAAAGTTATCACTTCCTGTTTCATCCGAGATGGACTTATGTCTAGTTTTATTTTAGGATATACCATTAGAATCGACTTATATAAAAATTTTAATTTTGACTTGAAACTGATCTGAATTATCTCTTAACTTTAATGTAATCTAGTCGAACCCTAAAATCAAATATCTCAACCTTGACTCTCAACCTCAAGTTAGTCTGTAAGCCAAACTTAAGATCGAAAATTCAACTAGTCTAATTTAAAATTGGACGCCTATATCCGTAGGAAATCGTGTATATCAAACTCCGAAAGTTTTCAGTGGATAAGCTCATAACATATTCATTTTTATGACTTGGTAAGAATTACAAACCAACGTGTTGATTCATTGATCTTCCAAACTGACAACCTTGTCATTTTTATTGAATTCAATCGCATTTGTCCTACTGATCATAGAATAAGAGACTGAAGACAAAGCATAAATTTGGAACTTGCTATTGTACGATTACTGCTGAAATAATGCGCAAACAATTATTTTACCGTAGATAAAGTAAAAATGGCGTAAATTTTTACTTTTTTTAATTAACAAATATTTTTTAGTACAGATGAGAAAAAGAAAAGTTAAGTTATCTAAATCTACCAATTCAAGTGTAAATGAACGAAATAAGAACGAGACAGGTATTCTATACAACATCTCATCTCACATTAAAAGTAATTTTAAATCTACTTAAATATATATGATTAAGAGAATTTGCCAATAACGACAGTTTTTCATTGAAATTTGTCAAGATGTTGACGTATCAGAAGAAAGATTACACTCATTCATTTATGGCTTAACTTCTTCACTCTAAAAATGAGTTAATAACAACATACGATTTAGTATTCAATGAAAAAATAAATGAAGAGCCGTCACGCACAATCGTAATTAAAAGCCATTCGTGCTTTAATAATAATCAGATTGTTACGTAATAGTCAACGGACACTTTCTATTATTTTTTTCAAAAGAATATAAATGAAATCACTAACAAAGACTTACTTCTCATGCCATACGGATAGACAAACATCTTTGACTTCTTTTTATGTACATTAAAAAAAGGTAGGTAAAATAAAAAATAAAAAAAAAAAAACCTTTTCTTTTCTTTTTATTTCTTACAATGAACTTCGTGCATAGAGATCTATGTCCTATGGTACGTGTTGACAACTTTTCTGATTACTGTATGTACACGATGATGTTATAATTGTGTAAGAACGAACGAAAAACGAAAAAATCCTTAGACTTTATATGAGTGACCTCAGTGTGAAAAGACAAAAGAAAAAAAGGTCCCATATTTTTTTTTTGGTTCTGTTTATGCAACTTGTTTTTCTTATTTTATTCTATAGCGTCTTATGTCAATACTACTGTACATAACACATTTCCAATTGAGAAAAAAAATGAGGCACAAAATATAATTTCAGTAGATATATTGATGTGATTACTAGTCATATAAATATGCAGTAGGTGGTGTTGTTTTTTTTTTTCGTGTTACAATAAACATATTGCAAACTCAATCTAAATACTATAGATGTTCATAACTGTCATTTATCAAAGAAAACTTCTAATAAAGGTTCATCTAACGAGACATTTTTCTTTTCTTTATAAAACTTAATTTCAACGAGAACAAGATAAAACATGTAATCTCTCATATTACACCCTTGTATTGATCTATAAATGTTTTGTATTTGACGTCATGCCATGTAAAAAACTGTACGTGTTCTCATTACTTCTATTTATATGTTTTTTTGTCTTATTCATTTCACAAATTTTTTTCCCTTTACGGAAACACATATGTCCAGTAGATCTTTAGAGTAAAAGTATCCATATTTCTATTTATTGTATATAGTTGATAACAAAAAAAAAAAAAAAAAATTAAAAAAGAAAAAAAAACAGAAAAGAAAAAAACTCAGCATGAACAAAGAAAGAAAGAAGAGATTTGATCTTTCATTGTTACATATATATCTCTATATCTATGCAACAGAATGAGTCTAATGATAAGATAGACCATTTGGTCATACTGATCTAGTATATGTCATGAAGTAAATAACTTCCTTCTTTTATTTTTCATATGTATTGAACAGTTGTTAAAACTTCAAATAGAACTTCTTTTATTCTCATAGATATAGACATAACAATCTCAATATCAACGATATAGAACAGATCGAGAAAACATCACGTCATCGACAATGTCAAAACAGTCTATATGACTAGATATCAACTTAATAAATTGTCAGGAGGTTGTGATGAATGGATAAGATAATTAAAAAAAAAGGAACAAATGGATCAAGTTATTTCTTCAGAAGTTAAAGTTATTATTAAGCATGCGTATACTGAAACGTTATCTAAGATAACTTTTCTTACTTAGTTCTACTTGGTTAGAGAATAAGATCGAAAAAATTGATCTAGTGAACATAAAGAAATACAAAAAATTTTGTGATTAAGAATGAAGAGGATTTTAACATATTATCACTCAATTATATCTGATTATGAAACCATCACAAACATATGTCTGACTACTAATAAAACTGTCTCTACAAAAGGGTATACAACTATTAGAATGATATAACAATTGTCAATTTAAAATATCATAAACTTCACTTTATGAAAATTAAAACTAGACCAATTTTATCACGGTTTAGCCTTTAATTTGCATGTTAAAATTAATTTTTTTTAATCATCATTAACCTTTCGAACTAGCCATCTGTTTCACCATACATACCTTTACTTACTGTGTATCATAAAAAATAATTTATTAACTTTTCAACTAACTTACTCTTTTCTATAAACTAATTCTGAAAATGACAACACAGGAGGTACCTGAACTCGTGCATAATTAAAGAGTAAAAGAAAATTTCTCTTTTTCTCGTTTTTTTTTATTTTTTTTATAACTAACGAGCGGAAATACAATGATGATCTGTGTGTTTATAATTGTACATCTACCTCGGCATTGTACATATGCATGGAATCATCGCGTGTTCAATGATTATAGAAAAATAAGAGAAAAAAAAAAACGAAAGAGAGTAGAGTAGATGGACGTGATGAATAATGAATTATTGTTCAAATCATTCATTGTCATTGTCTACCTGTAGACAAAAAAAAAGAGAAGAGAACGGAATGAATGGACAATGGTCATAAATATATGAGAAAAGAGATTATCGCTTTCATTTTTATGCTCTAAAGAATAATGTACATAGTGAAGGACATAACTATAGACATACTTGATGGTGTTGAAAAGAAAAACACCGAATAATTTGTCAAGAAGGCTAATAATATTCAGATTTATCCAATTAAAGTATCAACGCCTATTTTAGAATAGAAATTTGACTAGATTTTCTTTTGATAATGTGAATAGTGTAATTAGTATAAACAATTGAGTCTATAACTCAAAATGATACCTCTTCCTAAAGTTTTAACAAGTAAGATGTATACCTAATACGTACACGATCCATTTTCATGAATACTGTTGCTAACAAATGAAATTTAACATCATGCAACAAAAACTTCTATATTCACTCTTGTTTCTACGATTTTCTCATAGTGAAATTATATTCACCGTCATCTTTTCTAAACTTGTCAAGCCAATACTGAGACTATCTGTCTTTGTAGCGCTTCATAGATTAACAGATAAACAAAAAGATTTAACATTATTTTTGAGTAACATTGTAAATAAAAATGTATCATCCCTAGACATATATCTTACCTGTTCTAAGCTTTCGTTTTTTCACAAAAATAAAATCAACAAATGTACGAATAATCATCATCATTATTCAATGAATGAATGAATGAATGAATGAATGAACAAAGCTCATAGAAAGAACAAAGCGATGAGATTTAAATAAAAACAATGATGATGCGACAATATCACACCGTATACACCAAATCTTTCTTTACCTGGGATAAATATA